ATTTCTTTTTCCAAATCATCCAATCCTCCATTCTTTTTATTTTCCATGGCCCTACACTCGTCAAATTAATTCCCAAAATAATTCTCATTTCCACTCAAACTATTTCCCTTCAACTCTCATCCAGTAGCCGCTCCTCATTCACTGCTTTGATCGTAGCTCGCAAAACACCGAGACTCACACAACCTTGGTTCGAATAAGAAACCCAAAGGTTGACGATTACTTTTCGTCTATTAATCACGAACACCATCACCCATTGTCGAATAAAAAATTTGAGGTAAATAAATGAGCTTATTTTTGTTACTCATTACTGATTGTTTTTTCCCTTTGGCATTGCGGGAAACATTGGCATCGATGTGCACTTCAACGGCTTCTCTTTGAACGGTCAAACCCAATAGAACAACCCCTTTGTCGCTGTCGCCAATGAACATGGGGGAGTATTCTTTACCCTTTCTCTTGCATTTTCTATTTTATTTCTGTATTGAGACAATATGACTTAAGTGAAGGGGTAAACATTTCATGAGAATTTCACCTTACTTGTCTATGACTTTGTTTGATTGTATGTGTTGGTTGACTTAGTGATAACTTGATTGACATTTTTTCGCTTTCGTCGATTATTTTTAGTATGTTATGATTGCTTAAGTTCATGTGATTATTTTGATTATGGACATTCGAGATAGTTGAGTTGCATGAGTAGAAATTTAAGTAAACTTTATTGTAACCTTCTTTGATTTTGTTGATTGAAATTCGCCTAACTTGATGCATGAACACACTTTGGTGAGATTTTGAGCCTTGATGAGCATGTTTTTTAATTTTAATGATTTTATTCTTGCTTGAGTGTGTCGAACTAAATATTGAAAAACTAGAACTTGTAATATGATTCTTGTCGAGATTACACAAAGGAATTTAGTGCTTTGAAATGATCTGGACATTAGAATTCACCCAATTTTTTACTCGAAAAAGAAAGTATGTCCTTTTTCTCCATTAGTTAACCATTTTGATCCTATAACCATTTCTTTGCTTTCACCACATCTCTAAAACCCGAGCCTTTTTGTTTTTCACTCTCTTTCACCCTTGTCGAGACAAAGAGTATGAATTATAGCTTGTGTGTTCTTGTTCCATGAAGAAAAAAACAACATTAAAAAATAATAGAAAAAGGGAAAAAAGAAGAAAAAAATGGTTGTTTGATGACTTTGATGTAAATATTTGGTTGTTTCATTTATCTTGCTTTTTCTCATGGACATGGTTTGATTATTTGAAGAACTCTTTGTCTTGATTATTAACTTCATTTCTAACCTTTTTCCCCATATTTACCTAAGCCTCATTACACCCTTTTTAAAGACCCAATGATCTTTGCATGTTGTTTTTATTAAATAGTGGAGATTTGATTGTATTACAAGCCTAACGGAATTCATGTTTAGTTCTGACTTTGAGCATTCTTGCACCCAAAACACATTGAGTGAATTAAGTGAACCTTTGTGAGGAATTGAGTTAGGTTGAATTAAGATTGATGAATGACCGGACGTTACAATTTTTGTTTGACTTGATCCTACATATGTTATTTCAATTGATTGATATCTTGATTTGGGTAATTATTGTGAACTTGACTTGCATAATTTACTTTGATACGAGACAAAGTTGAGGAAGGTAGGTTGAGTTTTGACTAATTTGATCAAAGCATGCCTGAGGACATGCATGAGACAAGTGAGGGCGAATTTGATGAGCATTTTAAATTGGTACTTTTACTTGTTATTTCTCCCCTTTTGTTAATTTATCACTGTTGATTTGGGTTGTGTTTCATTTATTTTCATGCAGTGAGCTGTTTTCCAAAATTAGGAGCAAAAGGGTGCATTTTGTATTTTTTTTTATTTTATAATTGAGGCTGGAGACAATGGGCACGATGTTGGGCATGACTAGGTCTGGCGTCGCAGTTTCTAGATGGTTCAGTCAGCACAAGGAAGATTCTGGAAGCGGCTTAGTCAACACGATTTGAAGAGATATTTTAGGAAATTTAGTTTCTAAGTTTCAATTTGAAAACATTTGAATTATCTTTGAGATCTAGGATTATATTCATTTTGAATTCCTTCTTATCTTTAGGATTTAGAAGCCTATAAATACCCTCTTAGGGTAAGGCTTGGACATCTTGAATTTTTTTCTTATTATTTTATTTTCGATTTTATAAAGTTTCCTTCTTTATTTTCATTTTTGTTTTTACTTTAAGTTTTTATTGATTTTCACAAAACATGCCAAGTATGATTCGTATCATGCTTAGCTAATTTTTTTTAGCCAAGAGTTAGCAACGACTCAATTCCAAATGTGAGAATTGAAAAACACTTAAGACCCTTCAGATTACATTCTTGATTTTCTGTTTAATTAGTTTGGTAATTGGCCTTACTTTCAAAATTAAAACGCTTTCATTACAAAAAGTCAACATTGGTCTGGATGTTGTTTTAATTTATAGTTGGGAGGAAGGATCGGCTTGTGGCATATTTGACTTCCTGTGAACACACTTAGCGACGGTTCGCTAGGAAAATTGAGATCGGATTCGATTCTCGACGAGACAACATAATCCAAGTCGGGCTTTTCCAAAACTTAATTTGTTTGTTCTAAGGAAAATAGTTGTGGTTAGTCCATTCAAGAATCGACTTTCGAAGAGTGATTTGGGAAGATCGATTACCAAAGAGAAAGACAAGTTACAATGGGTTGGGCCTTGTAGACTGTAACCGTCATGAATCCCAGAGTAAAAATCCATTTTGATATCAAACGAAATTGAAACAAAACTAGCTCGAAGCGTTTTTCTCATTATTGTTTTAAATCTCTATTTACAATTTCTTTTATTTTTCTTCAATTTTAATCTATATTTTCTACTTTTCTTCATCTCTCATTCGCAAACGCCATTTTCTTATTTATTTTTCTTGCAGTTTCCTGTATTGAAATCGATATAAAATTGCATCAGGAATTTCTAAGTCCTCGTGGATTGACCCTTTTCTCCACTATACTACCTATTTCTATTTATTTTATATTGAGAAGAGAAATTTATTTGACGAGTAAAACGACGCTTGACACTTATCTTAGAGAAGAATAACTTAATATCACTATATACTAGTTCCAGATACGTTCATTAGTGCTTAAACAACTAATTTCATTACCATTTTTCTTTCGTTTTAAATTTAAACTCCTTTTCTTTTCAAAAAAAATTCTTTCCTATTTTGTGGGGATTATTGGAAATGCAAAGGGAGTAAGAGTACATATCTCACATTGAAAAGTAAAATGTCTTTGATTAAGTATTTTAAAGGGTGCTTTTCCATTCCTTAGTGAATGTGGTGAAACAAGTCTCTTGTATGCGCGCCGTCACTACCTTCGTTCAGTCGGTTTGGTTAGGTTCGTGGCCGTGGCCGTGGTCGTGGTAAGACAAATATTTAAATTAATGTGTTTATTTGCTGGAATTATCTGTTGATTGATAGAATTATTAGTTGATTGAAATAAAATATGGAATTTAGTGGTGGAGCAACCTATATTTGAGGGTGGGCACATATTCACTCTGAATTCGAATTTTCTTCGATTATTTTTTTATTTTACTGATGGTGTCCACCCATTTAAAAATTTTGTGTTGCTAACATATTTGTGCTCAATCTAAAAAATATTTCCACCGATGAAATTAACCTAGTAAAATACTCAAGTTTAGTCTCTTCCATGGCTTCGTTCTCTCATCTACCCAATGGCATACACCTTATTGACCTTTACCGACCCCATACTATACCAGAAAAATATCGCATTCATCGTTCTGTTAAAATCGAAGTAACCATCACCGTCGAGCGTGTAATCTGTCTTCATGACTGTTTAAACTATCGTTTTATTGAAAGTATGATTCATTTCCCTCAATAAACTCTTCGATTCAATATCCGTATTTTGGAACATCAGAAACAGGGTCACGAGAGCATTGCCGACATGTTAAGAAGATTTCGAGTCAATGCAACATGGCTTGAATATGGCATGGTCGTTGATAACATTATGCATCATGCACTCAAAATCAGAAAGTGTGATTCCAACATGGGACGTGAGATACTTCCCCTAGCGTAGATATTATCGACAAGGTATCACAACAATTCTTCGAGGAAAGGGATTCGCTGAGGAGAGCTTTGACAGAACCGGCACGGCCGGGAAACAATGGCATGGTTCCGGCGAATGAATCGTAGGTAAGGACGATGTTGAAAAAGGTTTGAGTCGAAGACGAAGATGAATCCAAAGGAAGCAGGAAAAAGAGGCGAGTGAAGGGGGAAGACTGCGTCTTATGTCTCGAGGATATGGAGATCAGTTCAACAGCTTCTCGGATGCCTTGCTCTCATAGATTTCACGATCATTGCATCGAGAATTGGTTTAAAGAAAGTCATTACTGTCCTCTTTGCCGATTTGATATGCCAACTTAGACAAAGTTTTATTTGTTTCTTATTCATCAAGATGCACTGCATGAGTATAGTTTGCAAGGATGTGGTTGGGTTTGTTGAGTGTTATTTTGTTTGGTGTAGACATTACCGGAACTTATTTTCTGTATTAGCAGTAGAATGTATTCTTTTCCTCCTTTAGGTTCAGATAGATTTTTAATGAGTTATTTAGTTATTATTTTTCTTTAAGTAATTGCTATTCTTTTTTTTTTTGTTCATCAAGACATTGTACTTCTTGGATAACCTATGAATGTGAATGTTCTACGTATGTTATTACTTCTGTCTCCAGTAATTGATTATTTATGTTTATTTGTTTAAAGCTACCTTTCGTTAAGAATTCTATGGAAAATATCGACACCTACGAAAGCCGAAAACGCACCTGTTTGTCACGATATTGTTATGTTTAAACTGGGATACAAAAGGGAGAGAGGGGATCGAACAATTATACAAACCCAGATTAAAACATGTGCCATTATTTGCCAATTTACACACCTGAAAATACTACTGAACTTCAAAATGGTGTACCAAAGCGAGTCTATGGGTACCACAAACAAGAACCCCTCAATTCCTTTGATAATATGGCACCATGGGTACCTGCAAAATTTAATGTACCAAAGTCATCTAATCATTGATTTTTTTTTTAAGAATAATGCAAGTTGTTTACTTCTGCATAAGAAGATTTTATTATATACCTGCTGATTGAGCAGCATATGAAGTTGAGCAAGAAGCTTATCTCTAATAGAACAAATCTTGGAAACAACATCCCCCATATCCATCCTCTCACTTAGTGAATCAGCGGAACAAATAAGTCCTATTTCGAATATCGAATTCAAACACTGAAGATATCTATCATTTCCCATGTTTCCATTGAGAGTGATGTCTGCGACTATTTCGTGTTTAGCTATCTCTTGAAGAAGAATGGGATCTACAATCTCAATCACTTGTCCAGGAAGAGATGCGTTAACAAAGTTGCGAAGACTTAAACCTTCTTTGAACCTTTCATCAGTCGGCCTTTTCCCCGTAAACATCTCAAGCAAGAGGATGCCATAGCTATACACATCACCTCTTGTCGACAACTTGCCTCCCATGCCATATTCTACCATTATATTTGTCACAAATTACATGTAAAAAAATTGCAAAGGAAAATCTTCTAGATATGTGAAAAAAATTATATTGTATGTTTTGCTTGCAAATAATGGGATAAATGAATAAAGTGAGTTTACCTGGTGGAGCATAACCAATTGTTCCTCTCAATCCAATTGAGCTTGATTGATTAGTAGAGTAGCTAAGTATGTCTGTAGAAAGGATTTTTGATAAACCAAAGTCACTTATATGGCCAATCATTTCCTTATCAAGTAAAATGTTGCTTGGCTTGAGATCACAATGAATAATCGATGTCTCACAACCATTGTGCAGATAATCCAGTGCATGAGCAACATCAATGACCACATTAACTCTTTGGAGAAAGCTCATCTTGCTTGTCGTCTCTGATTCATTCACGTCGATAGATGGATGTAACCAATTCTCCAAGCTTCCATTTTCCATGAACTCGTAAACCAATGCTTTAAAGTCATTGCCTTGGTAATCGACACTTGAAACGGATGTCAACACTTTGACAAGATTTCGATGTCGAATATTCTTTAAGACCTCACATTCAACCAAGAAACTCCTCGAAGCTCCATAATTTAGAAGATTAAGCACTTTTATTGCAACAATTGCTCCACCCTCTTTAAGAATTCCTTTATATACAGAACCAAAACTTCCTGAACCAAGAAAATTCTGCATAGAGAAACCATCTGTGGCCCTTAAGATGCTTTGGTATGATAAGTGCAAAAATGTATTTTCTGCATTGATGGTTGTTGGCATGGGCTCTTTCTTTTTTTTAAACCACAAGATGAGGAGACAAGTGAAAATCAAAGTCACCCCTAAAATCACAAAAATAATTGCAATTCTAAGGGAAGTGTTTGATCTTCTAACTAACGATTTTGAGTTACATTTGGACAAGTTTAACTCTAGGATGCCTCCACAGAGATTATTGTTTCCTTCAACAAATATAGCACTTGCATTCTTAAAGACCCCTTCACTTGGTATCACTCCCTCGAAATTATTGAAAGAAAGATTTAAATAATTTAATACTCTAAAGTTCACAAAAAATTCTGGAATCCCACCTGAAAGATTATTGGCAGATACGTCTAATCCCATAAGGCCCGTCAATGAACTAAAAGATGAAGGAATGGGCCCTTCAAACAAATTTCCATCAACGAACATGTACTCAAGACTTTCGCAGCTACCAAGGCTGCTTGGGAGCAGACCAAATAACCTATTTTGAGAAATATCCAATCTAGCTAGATTTTTCAATTTTTCTACTTCAACAGGAAGTTCACCAGTCAAATAATTTGATGACAAATCTAGTACAATGGACAAGGCTGAGAGTCCAAGTACTTCATGAGGTATTGATCCACTAAGATTGTTATGATCAAGACTTAGTAGGACCAAATTTTGACAATTACTTAGACTTGAAGGAATATTCCCTTGAAGATTATTAAAATCTAAAGCAAATTCAATTAACATCGTTAAATTTCCAATAGAACGGGGAATGGTCCCAGAGAGAAAATTACCACTAGTGAAAAATAACTTGAGCTTATGAAGCCTTCCAATGTCAAAGGGAATCGGACCTGATAGTTGATTTTGTGTTACCCCCAGAGTCTCCAAGTTGAAGAGATTTCCAATTCCATCCGGTATTCTTCCCAATATTTTGTTCCGATCCATTGATAAATAAAAAATAGTGGTAGAAAAATTGCTAATGCATTCAGGAAACATCCCTCCAAAATTATTTTGGGTTATAGATAGAGTTCCTAGTATCGTATTGTTGACCAAAGTGCAGAGAAAGTCCAAGTCACCATCTTTCCCGTATCCCAAATGGTTCTGGAACAAGGATAATCTGAACAGTTTATCTAGCTTTTCTAATGATGGAACATTCCCACTGAGTCTATTGTCAGCAAATTGAAGTACATTCAGATTTGTATCATTAGATATTGAAATCGGGATTTCTCCAGATATCTGATTTCCTCCTACTGAAAAGAACTCAACATATGGCATATTAATTTCTATGTGAGAAGAAAGAGTACCTTGAATCATATTCTCAGTAATATCAAATAATCCAAGGTAGGAGAGATTGAACATTGAAATAGGAACAATACCAGAAATTTCATTTGATGCTACCGTGAAATATGAAAGATTTGTCAGTCGTCCAAGAGCTTCAGGTAGGATCCCAGTCAACTCATTAATCGACAAAGTGAGTTCCTGCAGGGATGACAAGTTCCCGAAAGAAGGCGGGATACTCCCTCTTAAACTGTTGTTGCTAAAACTCATCAGTTTCAGGTTTGACAAGAAACCCAGGGAAGCAGGTATTTCTCCTATTAGCTGGTTGCCTCTCATGTTGACAAATATAAGCTTAGAACAAGCAGATAAATTACAAGGAATTGCATCACTAATGGAGTTATTGGTCATTCTTAATACCTTCAATCTTCTTAAACGACCGATTTCTTGAGGAATTTGACTGTAGAAGCTGTTCCCCGTGAGATTCAACTCTGTGAGAAAGCTCAAATTTCCAATGTATGGGGAAATAGACCCCGAGAGTTTGAGGTATTGCAGTTCCAATTTTGTGACTCTTTGATGCTCACGACCACCGCATGTAACGCCACGCCACTGACAAAAGTGAATGGAACTGTTCCAGGAGTCCATAATCCTGAGCTGATCACCAGTTATCTTGGATTTGAACTGTAGTAAGGCTTGTTGATCAGTGTCGTTTCCTCTAACTACATGGCTTGCTGTTGCTAAACCAAGCAAGTTGAAGCATGAGAGAAGAAATAAAACCACGAAAGAAGACTTCATTTGCTTTCTCGGCAACTCCATCAATCTGAACTTGTTTCTTAGTTGACGAGACTAATCTCATCTCTTGTGCAGAACAAATACTTCTCAAACTCCTGCTCTACCTCTTGTCAACAAATTTAATGTTTTTCAACATTGGGTTGGACTTTTTTGTTCGACTTTAAGCTCCATATTTTTTTCAAGATGCTTGAAAATAACATCAACCGATTATAACGTAATGGATACCCTTGAATGAATGCCATTTGTCGAGATTCTTAAAATTCAGAACTCTAATGTGAATGTAGAATGATTAGCTGTTGAGAATTGCCCTCTTGTCTCTTCCGTTATGTTAAAATAAAATATTAGTTTATTGATCTTCAACGTCACTTTACTATGGCTAGCTAGCAAACCATTTATTAATTAATTGATAACCAAAGTCGTGGCCTGCAATTCTATTGTTCCAGTTTCTTTATAGCTACGTCGCTTATAGATTTTACTAATTTGCATTTCTGGTAGTTTAATGCTTTTGAAATAAGTTTGTCTTTGTTCTTGTTCTACACTTGATCGCTTTAATTAAGAAGCAATTATTTTAAAATGTATTTGGATAAGTTATTTGGCATATAAAATTTGGAGAAAATTAAAGATCATGTTTTTTACTGTGCAAAATACATCTTGGTTTTTCGGAGATATTGTCTACTTGGTCATCTCAATGTTACATGAAATCAGAAAGCACAGTTGCTGAGAATGTAGATAACACAAGGATGCACTCTACGTCCTCTGCAACAAGAACATAAAATCGGATCAGCGAGTCCATCCAAATATGTGGAATGAAACTGAACTTGTCGGACACTGCCCCATGGATCAGCATGTAAGCGAGTCTGTCTGTTAATGCCAGCTCTCCGAAAGAAGCCCGGTTTTAGCACCTGCATGGATCTAAACATATTCCTCCATACAATTCCAAGGAGGGTTTCTCCCCCTAAGCGAGTTTCCAAGACGCCGCACCGTGTTAAGTATTTAACTCACCATAAATTGATAAACATGGATTCAAGATAGATTATATATAACTAATTGATTATGGTTTTGGTTCTTCATTTCTTTGGCCATTGGTCAGATCAAAAGAGCATTTCATAGATTGAACTTGAGTTCAATCTTAGTCCAATAATGGAATGTAATAATAACGATGAACTCCAATAAATAATACATCATTTTGGTGATGATAGAAACTGTTTTAGCTTCTTAAATCATTTATCAAAATTGTTTATTAAGGGAATTACAAGGTGTCTTAGCTTTGCCTAGAGTATGTGACTTTTACCCACAGAGCTTTGGGTTATATTTCCACTTATGATTAACTTATATGCGTTTTACCTTTCTGAGTTATTATTAGGGGTGTTTAATAAGTTGAAGAGTTCGTGAATTATTTGAAATCAATTTGATTAAAATTTGATAAATGTTTGATTTGAGTTAACTCGATTCGATAAGTTTATAAGCAGTTCGTTAATTTTTTTTAAATTTTTTATTAGTTACCTTAAAAAATTATTTCATTTGAAAAAGAAAGTCTAATTACTAATTTGTTAACAGAAAATACGAAAGATACTAAATTACTAATTATTACTAATTTTCTAATAAACAACTAGAAAGATATTAAAGTATTAATTAATAATCATTGATCCACTGGTTATTAATTTAATAGATTTTATATAGTTAAGAAAATAAGATAAAAATTTATGAGTTCAACAAGTAACGAGTCGAGTAACGAGCAACGAGTCAAGTAATAAATTTTTTTAACAAGCATGAGCTGAGCAAAATTTTATCGAGCTTAATAAGCAATGAGTCAAGTCGAATAATTAATTTTTTAAAGAACACGAGTTGAGCAGTGCTTAACTCACTATCGTCTCACATGATAAGCACCCCTAATTATCACCTTTAAAAAAAGAAAGAAAAAAAAATATAAGTAAAATTTTAATTAAAATCAATGCTAAACGCATAAAAATTGAAAAAATATTGCAGTGGAAACGGTGGTTTCAAGCTAACCACAAAAGCTAAGATTTGTAGTTTTTTCATTTTCAATTTTGCATTTAGGATCAAATTATAATTTTACTCTTATTAATGCATGGGCTCCACTTAATTATATATTTACATTTTATTTTAATAATTTAATATTAAAATTCTTAAAAAATAATTTATTACCTAATAATTTATTTTTAATTATTTAAAAATAAATAAAATTCATTACTTATATATTAAAATATTAATAGTGAGTTATTATAAAATATATTTTTATTATAATTAATTATTTATTTTAAAATATTTTTTATATTTTTATTATAGTTTAAGTGATATATTTTATATATCTTAGTTTTAATAAATGTAAATATAATTTAAATTTTATATTTTTTAATTTGAAATATAATGTGTATAATGAATATTTTGTCTTTTTAAACTTACTTTTTTACAATAATTTCAAACAGATAAATACAAAAGACAATAACATTTTCTATGTAAAAATAATAAAGAAAAAGCATTACACAAACGTACAATCAGATGGATAAATACAGAAAATAATAAAATTTTCTACATAAAAATAATAAAGAAAAACATTTCATATATTTGTTAAAATTTATATAATTCCTAACACATTAATACTTCATATAATAATTTTTAATATATATTTAAAATTTTATATCCTTAAAATTTAAAAAATTTAGAATAACTTTATATAATTTTATTTTTAATGGATTTTAAATTTATTATTTATTTATTGACGATTTGGTAAGATATGTGTAATGAATTTATATTTAGTAAGATATGTGTAATGAATTTAATTGTTTTTTAATTAAAATGGAAACAAAAAATTACATCATAAGCTTAAGTATAATACACACACACACATATATATATATATATATATATATATATATATATATATATATGACTAAAATTAATTGAAAATATGTTGAATTATTTCTAAATTTTCATGTAAGCCTTTATACTTTTATTATGTGGGAATAAATTTTAATTGGTTAGACTCAACAAAGTATTTTTGTCTTACAAAGATTTGAAGCGAGCATTTTCATCAAAATTACATTTAATTAAACTCTCAACTTAAAAAATATATCAATAAAATGTTGTTGACCGTTGATAAATTACACTTATCGCCACACATACTTCTATAAATACCACACAATTAATTTAACCCAACACAAAGAAAAACTTTCTGCTCAAGTTTAATCTCTTCCATTCCATTCCATTCCATTCCATTCCATTCCATTCCATTCCATGGCATCGTTCTCTCATCTGCCTGATGGCATACATCTGATTGACCTTTACCAAGCTCATACTGTGATAGTACTAAATTGCGGCCGCAACGGAGCGTATCGGTTTTATTGTAATGGTTTTGAAGGTTACTGCGACGCAATATCGGCACAACGCGACAAGGAAATTTTTAGAATTGATGTATTTTTTAAGAAGAAATCACGCCCGCGAAAGCCGCAATGCAATACGTAACATCTGCAGTATCCGCAATTGCGACATCGCGACCGCAACCGCGACAAATTTCGCAACCACATTTTGATACTATGCAACTGTACCAGAAAAATATCCCATCCGTCATTCCGTTCAAATCAAAGTAATCATCACCTTCGATAGTGTAATCTGCCTTCATGACTGTTTACATCATCGGTTTACTGAATATTTGATTCACTTCCCTCAGCAAACTCTTCGCTTCAATATCCGTATCTTGGAACACGAGAAACAGGGTCGCGATATCATTGCCAACATGTTAAGGAGATTTCCAGTCGACCCAGCATCTCTTGAATTTGGAATGGTCTTTGATAACATCATCCATCACGCGCTCACAATCCGAAAGGGTGATTACAACACGGGACGTGAGGTGCTGCCTTTGAGCGTATATATCATCGACAAAGTTACACAACACTTCATCCAGGAAAGGGATTTGCTAAGGAGAGCTTTGGCGGAATCGGCATTGTCGGGAAACAACTGCATGGTTCAGGCGAATGAGTCGTCGGTAAAGAAGATTTTGAAAAGGGTTCGAGTGGAAGACGAAGATGAATACCAACGAAGTAGGAACAAGCGGCGAGTGAAGGGCGAGGATTGCGTCATATATCTCGAGGAAATCGAGATCGGTTCAACAGCTTCTCGAATGTCTTGCTCTCATACTTTTCACGATCATTGCATCGACAACTGGTTGAAAGAAAGTCACCACTGTCCTCTTTGCCAATTTGAGATGCCAATTTAAACGAAGTTCGGGTTTGTTGGGTGTTATTGTGTTTAGTGTGGACCTTATTGAAACTTATTTCCTGATTGTCGGGTAGAATTCTTTTCCTCCACTTAGGTTTAAAGAGGTTTTTTAACGAGATGTTCTGCTTTGATCATGACTTTATGATTATGTTAACAAAAATCATATTGGCTGAGCGAAAAATCATCATGCGTTGTAATTTCCAAAAACCCTATGAATGAATTTACTTGATTGTTTCTATGATTTAGTCTTGGTTTGTAGTTTCTTTGGCCATTGATTTTCGTTCTTCTCTGAGTCTGCCATGTAATTCATTGAATATTGTACCTCGTGAAGACATTGTAATTCTTGGATAACCTGTGAAAGTGAGTTTTATCTTATTAATTTTGCCTCAAGTAATTGATACTTTTTGTTTAAAGCAACTATTAACCTGAATGGTGACTAAAAGATGGATTTTTTTTTAAAAGAAATCACTTCGTTAAGAATTCTAAGGGAAACATCGACACCTACAAAAGCAGATAAACACACTTGCTTACAATTATGTTTCAACTCTGATACAAAAGGGTGAAAAGGAAATTAACTAATACCACTATTTGCCAATTTACACACCTCGAAATACTAATGCACTTAAAAATGCACCCACCAAACAAATGATTAGATTGTTAATTTTCCTGGTTCGATGGACGTGTGATGAAATTGCATCAACTCCTTGAACTGCAAGAGAACATGAAACTCTTCCTTGTGTGAGGATTACCTCCTCCACTCCGCTCTGACCACCTTATCTGAAAATGCCAAGCAATCAATACCGATATGAAATTTGAACAACCAACATGATCATATTTAACTAGACATGAATGTAGTACAAAGATGCGAAGGACCACTGTGTCTTACTGAAAGAACGGGGTAAACTAAGGCGCATACAAGATAGTACTGATACGGCAACACAAATGCAGAGGCATAAAACATCTATCTTAACTCATGCTTACCTCCTTTACCAGCTACATGAGCTGGTCTTTGAGCACGTGGTGAAAGTGAACCTAGATTGCTTTTGGTTGAAGATTGTCAAGCATTGCAGAAATGCAAAACTTGGAAATTCCAAGAAGAAACAAGAAAATGTTTATTGAATTAACTTGCTTTACACATTACATATGTCTACTACTTATAGCTCAATTATAACAAACTCAAACAACTTAAAAACTCTTAAAAACGTTTCCTAACAACCTTTATATGCAGACTAATTAACATTCATTAGCTGCTTTTTAACCCACATGCATGAGCTGCCTCAACCCACGTGCATGACGTGCATGAGCTACCTGAGAGATCTCAACATTATCTCCACTTCTTCTTTGTAATATCCCAAAATCAGGGTTAGTGACTAAAATGAAATTTTTGAAACTTTGAAGTATGATTTCAAAAGATTGTAAAGTGCATGGACTTATTTGTAAATATTTTTGAGGGATTGTTGGTAATTATTAAATGAAGTAAAGGATAAAATGTCATTTGACAAGGAAGATTTTTATTTTCCTTTATAAGATAAGGAAGCCACGTGGGAAGAGGAAAAAAGGGAGTTCCAGAGTTCTCTTCATCTTTGTTCTTTCTCTCCATCTTGAACCAAGGATGCAAACGTAAGTCCTCTTATTAGTTAATTTCTTGTTGAATTCAAGGTTGGTTTATGATCATTAGATGATAATTAAGCTTAAAGAAAGCTCAAATCATCTTAAAAGCAAATGATGGTGGAGTTAGGAGAGATTAAAGATTAAGAGTTTTCAAATGAAATCTTGGAATATAGTTCATTACTCAAATTGGAAGATAAATTTGACTTGTCATCAACTTAATTAAGAGACATGAAGTGATAGAATTGAATTTAGAACATATTGAAAATTTGGTATGATTCTTATCTTTAAGAATTTGGATGACATATGGGAGATAATAAGGTATTGAAATGATAAAAGTTAGTTAAAATGGTTGTAGTTGAGTTTAGTGGTATAAAAGGAGTTTTACATGAGGAAATTTAATGAAAAGTTGTGGAATATTCGGTTGAAATAGTCTATTATGGGCTGGTGCATCGATGCACTATGAGTGTGTACCGATGCACTAAGATAAATTTTGAAGGTGCATCGATGCATTAAGGGGTGCACCGATGCATGTGAATTTCGAACCTAATTTGTGTACCGATGCATCCATAGTGCATCGATGCACTCCTACAGGAAAAAGTGAATTATAGTTCAATGAATTAGTTTAAGTTATTAGCATCGAATTATAAGGTTTAGGCTTCTAATAATCATCTTGGAAATTATGATTATGTAGATATCGAGCACGAACAAGTTCCAGAACGATCATCAAATTAAGATTCGATCGAAAGAAAGGAAATCATAAAAGTGGATTGGATCTTAGTGAGACCAAGGTGAGTGCATATTAGTTAGTTTATGGTGCTAAATGGAAACAAGACTTGTGACAAGTCTATTTCCTATGTTAGAATGCATGAATATATGTTTATACGTATATGAATGACATGAATTGTATGTATGCATGATTATATGTGTTAACATGCTTTTGAATGTAATGATATGAGAAGTATGTGTTATGTGATGTATATATATGAACATATGTGAAACTGAACTATGTGACTGCATGAGAAAGATATGAGCCATATGGCATGATATATGTGAACATGAGAAAACAAAGTATAAGATATGAGCTATGTGATCCTCTGAGAATATGAAAAGAAGCTATGTGACTACATGTATATGTGAAAGAAGCTATGAGCTTATATGATATGTGATATGAAAGTGTACATGTGAAATGATATAAGTGAAAATGCCCATGTTATATGATACGAGAGCTATAGGTATAGTTGGCATGCTAAGAGTCGAGGGTCAATACGGTCCTTCGGGACATACAGTGATCCTTCGGGATATTTCATAGTGGTCATTCGGGACAAAATTTCATAGCCCCTAGTGGGACCCCTTACGAGCTGTGGTGACAACATAGTGCACAACCTCAATAGACTCACATATCTACAGTTCTCACAGGTGTACATGGGCTAATAAGAGATAACATTGAATACAATGTATGTGATATATATATATATATATATATATGTTTTGTGATATGAATTATATGATATGATATATGTGTGTGTTAATGATTATTGTATATGTTTTAAGATATATGATATGAACATTATAGATCATATAAACGAGAAAATAGAAATATAAATAGTAATAATATGATAATGATAGGAAAGAAGATAATTATATGCATGTATGGATTTGGTATATGAATGGATATATGTTTGGGTATGATGTGATAATAGTAATTGTTCATGCATGATTACAAGTTATAGTTTACATTATATATTTATTGCCTCACTAAGTCATAGACTTACCGTGTAAGTGATTTACACGTAGGTTTCAAGAAGAGTGAAGAGCAATGTGGAACAAGACAGGTTAGTTCTCCTTACTGAAGGTCAGATCAGAAGAGAGGTTAATAATATGTATTTTAATATATAAAGTTCTAGTTGGCATGTATTCAAAAGAATATATTGTATAAGCTTTGAATAATTTTGTAAACATTTTGAATAAGTTATATGTTATAAAAGTTTTAAATTACTCACTATTTTATACAAGTAAATGTTTTGAAAAGCCAATGTGACACCTCGGACTCGTATTCAAGTCAAATACGGGTTGGGGGTGTTACATTCTTTTTTCCTTCTTTAACAAGACAACACTCGCAGTTTTTCTCGAAATTGCTCAACACTGGCTTGGTCAGACCATTGGCCACTTGAAAACCAACAGGTACATAGCTAACTCGAAGCTGACCAACTGCAATATTCTCACGAACAAAGTGAACATCCAATTCAATATGCTTGGATCGGGCATGACACATAGGATTTACACTCAAGGCAACAACACTTGTGTTGTCACACCAAATAACGGGCTCATCCTGAAAAGATATACCAAGACCGCGAAGTAACACAGTAAGCCAAGTAAATTCTACGGCAGAGTCAGCAACACTCCTATACTCAGCTTCTATTATTGAACGAGAGACAATTTTTTGCTTATTTGAATTCCACGCAACCAAACAATATCCAAGGAAAACACAATATCCAGTCATGGACCTGCGATCACTAGCATCACCAGCCCAGTCAGTATCCGAAAAGACTTTGACACATAACCTAGCATCACCATTTGAAAATACCAACCCATAATCCAGTGAACCCACCAAATAACGCAGGATACGTTTGATTGCCACAAAATGAACTTCTCGTGGAGATTACATGAACTGGGCCACTTTATTAACTGCGAACCCTATATCCGGCCTAGCATGACAAACATATAAGAGATCCCCCACAACACTGTGATACTCTCGATCATTAGTCATTAGATCACTATCCTGATCAGCAAGCTTTACAGCAGTAATCATCGGAGTGCACACAAGCGTTTCTTGACTCATGTTAGTTTTCTTCAACAACTTACAGATATATGTATGCTGACTAAGCATCAATCCAATACCAACCCGCTTGACTTCTATTCCCAAAAAATATGACAACTCACCAAGATCTTTAAGTCAAAAACGAGTACTAAGCATATGAACAACCTGATTAACATTTGTAGAAGATGTTACTATGATTATAATATAATCTACACACACTAAAATGTACGTAAAACAATCGTCTTGGAGTCTAATGAATAACGACACATATGCTTTTGATTCAACAAACCCTAGTTCCAAAAAACTGGCTTTAAGCTTTTCATTCCAGTTGTGTGGTGCTTGGCGAAGCCCGTAGAGTGCCTTCTGCAACTTACACACCAGTGGAGTACCATTTGAAGTACACTGTTCAAACCCCGAAGGCTACTGTATATACACCTCTTCGCTCAAATCACTATTTAAGAATGCATTGTTTACATCTATCTATCTCAAGACCCACCCTCTTGCAACAACCATGGTTAAAAGCACATACACCATTGAGAACTTCACAATTGAACTAAACATGTTCTTGAAATCAAGCCCAGGAAATTGAGTGAACCCTTTTGTAACCAATCGAGCCTTGTACCTATGTACAGACCCATCAGGGTTTCATTTAAGTTTAAACAACCACTTGTACCCCACCACATTCCTATCATCAGGTAGGGAAACAAGAATCTACGTGTCATTCTGAATTAATGTCGAATATTCAGCATGAACTGTAGCGGTCCATGGAGCTGACTGAAGAGCTTCATCAATAGTGGATGACACACCATCATCAAAGAATGTAGTGTAAACTTTTGGCTTAAACACCTCACATTTACTACGAGTCAACATAGGGTGACCATTACAAATTTTAGTCCATGCTTTGTCACCAGACAGTGACTAAGCCTTAACAACATTTTCAGGAACTGATTGATCAATATTGGAAACCTCAGGCAAAGAAGCAGACTCATCATCTGGCATGGACCGTATTGAGTAGGGTTCAGGAGTATCTACAGGAAAGTCAGTGACATCTGGTACTTGAATAACACCAGTGTGCAACTTGTTAACATCCACCACTATGTCAAGAGACATGCTTAACTGTGAATCAGTTGCTGACTGTCTGGCAGGCCTATCACCAGCAAATGGGAAATACCATTCATCAAACTTCACATGGCGAGAAACAAATACACACCTATCAGGTGTTAGACAGAGAAATCATTTTTTATGAGGGATAATACCCAAGAACATGCACGCCTGAGACCAAAAATCTAACTTATGGTTTTTGAACGGTCGCAGTGAGGAAAGCATCAACACCAAACACCTTGAGTAAGCCATAATCAACCTTCTTGCTAAACATACACTCAAAATGATACCTTCTAGTTAGGACCTTCGAGGGAAGTCTGTTAACCAAGTGAACAACCATAACCATTGCATATGACCAGTAGCTAATTGGTATGGAAGCTTGAGTGAGCATGACTAGAGTAAGCTCAACTACATGCTTGTGTTTACGTTCCACTACACCATTTTGTTCTGTTGTGTGTGGACATGTAACATGATGAGAAATGCCAGATTCAGTGAGTATACGAGATAATCGACGATATTCACCTCCCTTGTCACTTTGAACGGTCAAAATATTCAGTCCAAATTGTGTTGTCACAAGCTGCTGAAAGAGTTGAAATGCATGAGCGGCTTGAGACTTATCCTTAAGGAGATACAACCATGTGTGTCTAGTGAATGCATAAAAAAATATAACATAATACCTATAGCCATTTGAAACAACAGAAGATGTCCCCCCATAAATCAGTAAATACAAGTTGGAAAGGCGACTCATACACAATAGTTGAATCAAAAAAGGGAAGTTTATGACTCTTTCCCATGTGACAAGCAACACAAATTCCATTAACGTTTTGCTTAACATGTACATCGATCAGTTTGCATATTTGATCAAGGATTCCATGTATAGGATGCCCAAGGCGTCTATGCCATAGGTCATACAAACTATGTGAAGCAACAACATTATTAGCTTAAAAACGAGCACTTGTATTATTAACGTAGTCAACTTGAAATGAATATGGACCATCATTCTCCTGTCCTTGCAGCAACACCTCGCCAGTCTCTTTATCACGAACACAGAAGTGCAATGTATGGAATTCAAAATACACTTCGTTGTCCCTAGCAAGCTTAGAGACCGAGAGAATATTTTTTTGTTATCTTAGGTACATGAAGAAGATCATTAAACATCAATGCTCGAGAAGAATAACATAAAACAGTTTTACCAATAGCTTGAATAGGAAGTGAACCTGTATTACCAACAACAAATTTACATGGACCTGAGAAATCCTTTTGATTAAGAACCTTAGCTGAATTAGAGGTTACATGATGTGTAGCCCCGGAGTCAACCACCCAATGATCCCTTGTACTAGTGGTAACATGGCTCTACAGCTGTGAGGAATAGCAGACCTACGCCTTAGCTTGAGTTTTTGTACAAAACGCGCAATCATCCACACCAATAGGAGCTGACTCTAAACAGGAGTAGTTAATAAATCTTGAATCACCACGAGATGCAGCACGATCAGTTGGTCTACCAGTAAATGTTTGATCAAATCTATACCAACAATCAACAACAAGATGTCCATTTTTCCACACAACTAGCATTGAACACATGGTTAGCCATGGCCACGACCTCCAACTCGACCTTGATCACCAGACCCTGATCGACCAAAGGCACGATCATGAAAGCCATGACCTGCAATTTTCAAACCAGGTCTAATCTGATATATATATATAAGCACTCATTGGGAGGGAATCTTCTTGGGAATCAAACCCAACAAGTTGAGTTTCGGCATCGATCAACATTGAAAAAATCTTATCAAGAGATAAAGCATCTTTCATGGTGGTTATGAACGCAATATACGGCTGATACTCTCGGGGAAGGCCTTTCAATATGCTTGCAACATGCTTGGCCTGAGGAATTGCACTATCACTCGAGTTTAACGTATCACAAACTTATTTGATGCGAGTAAGATACTTACGCATGCTATCACTCCCCTTATTGAGGGACTAAAGCTTGTAGTGAAGGTTAATAACTGCTTTGGTAAATCGGTTTACAAAAAATTGTAGCACCGTACTCCAGACCGCCGTTGTCGTCTCCGCTCCAACAAACTGGGACAACAAATGAGGGCTGATCATGGATAGTAACCAAAAAGCCAGTGTATTGTCTTGTACAACATACTCTTCATGCAACTCATTCGACACTGAGTCACCATGCTCATCTACCACTGTTGTAGGAGGAGGATGAGTAGCTCCAATTAACAACTGTTCTAGTCGATTACTGTGAACAGTCAATACGATTTATTGCTTCCAAAGTAAAAAATTGGATTCATCAAGAATTATTTTCACTTTCTTGTTTGTGAAGGTCTTACCAACAAGAAGATGGCGCAACACACAGAGAAGAAACCTCAGGAACAACTAGCGAATGATACTATGTCAAGCATTGCAGAAATGCAAAACTTGGAAATTCCAAGAATAAACAAGAAAATGTTTATTGAATTAACTTGATTTACACATTTCCTATCTCTACTACTTATAGCTCAATTATAATAAACTCCAACAACTTAACAACTCTTAAAATATACAGACTAATTAACATTCATTAGTTACTTTTTAACCCACATGCATGATGTGCATGAGCTGCCTCAACCCACGTGCATGAGCTACCTGAGATATCTCAACAAAGATGACAGTGAATATCGCATATTTAATCCATTCTTACTGACCACTTTAGAAGCACCAGACATTGGAGAGCCTTGACTCCTAAGCCTAGCTTTCACAGATTCAGTTGGACATATAACTAGGCACTTTTGGTCTTTTTTAAATCCGTTTTCTTCTAGATTACCCGTTTTTGCAGGGAAAGAAGCTCTCCATTGGTTTAGTTTTTTTGAGCTCATACCACCGATCTTCTCATCCTTAGAGCTTGACTCCTCTGATACCGGCATGTTTTTAATTTTAGCATCATTTTCAGCAGTCTCTAGGCTCGTCAAGAAAAGTGTCTCTAAACACCTGTTTTTGCCTGGGTTGACATTTTTTTATTTTTATTTTATTATTATATTATATATATTAAATAATTAATAATATTTTATTTTATTATTCAGGCCCAATTACAAACAAACAAAGACCTAACGAGTCAAGACCCAATAAAGACCAGGCCAACAAACCTAATTGGATAACCTATCAGTTAGGGTTTTACCCTAACTCTTCCGCCACCATTAACTTCTGGTCATTGGATCCATGCTTGATCTAACGGCCCAGATGATACGAAATTAGGGTTACACCCTAATCTCTCTACCGCTACTGTTGATCACTATCACATCGCCTGTTGCTGCCGCCTCCTCGGCCAGACAGCTCTGACACCGCCGTTTCCAATCGACCATCAACTATCAGTCAAAAGAAAAGCCAAAATTAGTAAAAAAATCATATATAATTTTTTACTCAAATAAAGACAAACAAGTCAAGAACGAGAGTTGTCAATCACAAAAATAGGTACTCGTGCCCTATCTTTGTAATACCCCAAATATTGTTTAGTGACTATATTGATTCAATCGATAGGATGAAATAACCAAGAGGGGTGAATTGACAATTAAAATTTTGTGAAAGCTTGAAAGAAGAATTAAAACAAATTGCACAACGCTTTAGAGTGGTTCGACTTTCTCAACTAAAGTCTACGTCCACTACCTTAGCTATCCACACTAAGGATTTCCACAAATTCACTAATTTGTATCTACCTTTGAGGACAAGGCGTAACCTTACAACTCCCTCAAGAATTAAACCCAAATTCTTGAGATACTCTCTCAAAGAGAAAATTACAAATTTTCAAACGTATAAGAAATCTCACAAGGAAAAATGTTTGCACAATTCAAGAACAAATAAGAACACTTGATAAATGAATACCAGTAAGAACAAGTAGTGTTATTAGAAAGCAAAATGAATATTGATGAATGTGGCTT